ATGAAACACATTATAGTCATCAAGGCCAGCGTCAGGTGAGTGCGTGTTTGTGTGCGCGCGGATGGGAGGGAGGCGGCGGTGGCTCCCACTCATCCACATCAACTTAAACTCAATGGCTTTTCTAAATAAATAAATAAATAAATAAAAAGCGAGGGTTGGGGGGGGGGAATGCTCTCAGGGACTTTGCTGCATTCCACTCGATGAGCACAAACAAACGGATCAAAAAGCCATTCTGGAGGGAGGAGTGGGAGGTGGGGAGGAAAAGCAGAAAAAAGCCCTCTTAAAAACAGAGTAAAGAGGAGAGAGTGGGGACAGGAAGCGGGAGAGCCAGCAGACGGGGCTGGAAAAAGAGACTCCACTACCGATAATGAGCGGATCATTTAAAAAGCCATCCCTAAATTGCCTTGAGGTTAGAGAGAAGAGGGGAAAAGGCTTGAAAGGTTTTCAGAGATTCTGAGCGACGGCCGGAGTGGTGGCGCTGGTGCTGGTGGAGGTGGAGGGAAGGACGAGCTCTGTTCAGATGGTTTGAGCTTCCGTCTGGGGCCGTACTGCCCTTCTGGAGCATCTCTGAACTGGTGAAGAGAAACGAAGAGTAGATTCAAATGTTTGAATGAAAAGATGAAAACAGACGGTGAAAGAAAACATGAAGAGACTTCAAAAGCGATGCAGAGAGAAATGGTCACTGCTCAAAACACCAGAGGTCCAGAATATCGATATTATCGATAGCAATCAGTATCAACATCGGATCAATAGCTAGCATGATAAGATTGGAACTTTAGTTTCAGATTCCCTCTTGAAATTTTATTTTAGGTTTGTAATGTAGTTTCTTAACGCTGCAGCAGAAAAAGATTTTTGCTTTCATTTGCTCTCAAATGATCTTTGTTGCACTTTATTTAGAAGACAATGCACAACATTTGTTTCATTTTTCGACACGTTTCTGATTTTTATGTTGGCAAAGTATTTTGAAGAGGCCTGTAAACCTGATCTAAATTCTGCCTTAGGTTTTGACAAAACAATTACAACAAATAATCACAAAAACGCGTAAAAGGTCAGAAGTTTGGTAATATATTAAATAATACGTATCAGTATCGGTGCCGGTATTTGCGATACTTATACGAAACCGAACACGCTTGTCCCATGTGTCTTTACGTGAACTGCTCCACATTGTTGAAGGACACAATCAAAGATTGTACCCACCAACTTCTGAACTTTGGAGACATTACCTAAAAAGCAATACATGGAAAACAATACATGGTTTAAGTTGGAATAACTACCAAGAGTTATTCCTCCCTTATTCGAGAACTTCACATTGCAATGTCAACTAAAACAAATGGTCTTTAGCGTTGTTTTGCTACTTCCAACCATTGTAACAAATAAAAATAATTCAAGAATTTGACGTGGCGAACACGACTTCTGAGCAGTTCGACTGAAAAGAAAGAAAGGTGATCAAGATTCCAGTTTATTGTGAGAGTTTGCTACATAGAGCATCACAACAACAGCCTGCAAGGTCTCAAACACATGATCTGCAATGAGAAACAAAAGCATCTTCAGACCGAAGCCTGAATATGTTCAAAACACAAACTCCAGTGGGCGAGGGGAGCAAAAAGGTTTTGTGAGTGAAATTTCCAACATTTGTTCATATTCGCTATGCGTTTAAACCACAACTGACTGAATGGAAATTAAAAACACGGGAGACTCAAGTCATGCAGACTCTTCTTGACCCTGGATGTAAAAGCCTCTTGGAGGGATGTTTAGAAGGAAAGTAAGCAAAGGTAAACTTGAGGAAGCAGCAGCTTCAGCAGGAGTGGAGGCTGCAGACGATCAACAGGCCCAACATGACAGTGCAGCTGGACTGCAGCTGAGCCCACAGTCACAGTGTGTGTGTGTGTGTAGATGCTGGAGCCTACTCTTTCTTTTTGTTTGTTTTCACCATCATGATACATGCGCGTGCCTCCGTGTGGGCAGGTACACCGTGTCACGAGGTGGGCTTTATTACTGTGTTTTTGTGGTTGTCAGATGTAGAAACCAGATGAGGTGTCACTGATGGGATTCGGCCTCCCGCTGCCTCCTCTGCTTTTCAGCAAGAAGAGCAAAGACTTGAAATTAAATCGGCTCAGATTGTGACGCCACCTCGCCGTTTAACGTTTGGCAGCAACAGTTGCTTCTGCTACGATACATACACTTTCAAAGTGTATGTATCGTACAGTGGCAGCTATCATCTTACTGTTAAAAACGTCCTTTGTAGAGATGAAGGGTGAAGTTTGCTTTCCTTATGGTCTAAGTCGGCCATTTTGTTTTTTTTGGAGTCCTGAAAGTTTCTGAAGAATTGCAAGACAACAGTCCGTTTTAGGCTGAGAAGTATTTATTCCCTTACAAACGTCGTTTTAGGATCTTCAAAACAAATTTTACTGTCATACAAAACAATAAGTACATACATAATATAAATATCTACACACCTTTTTTTTTTTTATTCGAATCTAAAAAGATATTCAGACCAACCTGGCCCTATAACTGACCTGCTTTAAACCTAACACCTGGTTGTGTCGTCCCTTACAGGGAACACCTGTGACCATTGTTTTAGAGCAAAAAAGACCTGGTCAAGGTTTTCTCAGTGCAAAACAAGAACAAGAACGGGAGACGTTGCATCTGTATGTTGGGCTTGACTGGATGATTTCCAGTCTAACCAACTTAGGCAGTTATTTTAGGAAGGTGCCCATATGTTACTTTGTGGGTCTCATCAATATGTTTTGTAGCGTTGAGCATTATTCTGTGTGGTGAAGCACAGGATGTTAATCAGGGCAAGTTAGTCTGGAACAAGATGAACAAAAAGCATCACTTCAGATGCCAGACTCAAATTTGAATCACCTGGACTCTTTATTTGCCCCTCCTTGTACATGAAAACATTCAACTCCTCCATATGTTTTTAAAACTCCCCCTGTGATTTTGGTGCCTTTAAAAAAAATTACAGCATCTTGGGAGGTAGAAATAACAGTGGCACAAAGCGGTGATATGCAATAATTCACCCACAGTATACACAACGTCTCCCAAACACAGGCTTCAGAAAAAGATGTTTTACTTTAATACAATAAACAAGTGTCCATTTTGCGTTTCAGTGCTGCACAGCGTAAGACCGTCGAGCTGGAGACGCGGCTTTGGTCGTATCTGTAGCGTTTTTGGAAAATACGGCAGCTTGGGAGGTGGAACGGCTCGGCGATGAGCAATAATTCACCACTTTTGCAACCACAACATATACATCGCATCCCAAACACTGGAGTGCGTGAAAGATGTTTTATTTTTATGATATAAGCCAGGATCCATATGGCTCTTTTATGGTTTACTTTTGGCCACAGTCACCAGAACAGATTTTCACCAACTCACAAACGACAGACAACAACAAACCTGCACGGTTCAGATCCTTCGACGCTGAATATGGTAAGAGCAAATATGGTCCAAATGGCCCAGAGCATGTCTGATCCTTTACCAAAGATATGATAAATAATGAGAGTTCCTCAAATGTTTTAGGAACAAATAAAGCTAATTTAGTTAGATTGTGTTGGTTCCTTTTAATGGTGGGAGCATATTGGGGCCCTGAATTTCACTTCATGTTAACTTGAAAAACGGTATAAAATCTACCTTACTGTTATCTCAAAAAGCAGGTAAATATTCACTGATATACACAAAACAGAAGGAACGCACAATGACAACACCAAAAAAACAAATCAATGCTGTGATGTCAGTTGCATTTGCAGATTATCCTCAGACCTCTACATGTTAATTCAAGTCACAAAATGAAACCATGTGAACCATGAGCTCCTCAGAATAAACTCGTCTTTCGTCCTGCGGCTCTGTATTGATCCCCGAACTGTTCCAGCTCCTTTTTGACGACTCTTGCGTCAAAGGTTGCTCTATTAGAATACCTGCAACTATAACTTAATTGCATAATCCTCATCATCCACCTCTCGGCGCTCCCTCTCTCACTCCCCGCCTCTTTCTTTTTCCTCCCTTTTGCTCGCCTTTCTCCCCCGTCTCTTCCCTCTCCATCTTGACACAGTGCACTGAGCCTAATCGTGGATAATTGGGTGGGAGGGGCAGTGGGCTGGCCCTGCCTTTGTGTGCAAAGGGCAAGTGGTCAAGTTAATGGGGCCCTTGTGTCGAGCTGGGAGCACTCTGTCTCTCTTTTTCTCCGTTCAATCATTCTCTCTGCCAGTCAATCTCTGCCTCTTGGTCAACTATTTTTTTTGGGTGTTTTTTATTTCACGTCTGAAGCTTTTCCCAGCCGTTTCAATCCAGTTTCCCCTCACTTCCAGCTGTCTCGTGCGCTGCCTCCCTCCAAAGCCCCCCCGCCCCCGAGCGTTCTTGCGCCTTCCTCGTAGCGTCTTTTCTCCCTTCTCCAGCTCTGCCCCCTCGTCTTTTTCAGCCTTTGTCTTCCTCTCTTTGCCGCCGTCTGTAGCTTTTTCTATCTCTTCTCTCTGCCTCTTCAGCACAATGTTGGGGAGGAGAGAACAGACCTCTTTAAAATATCAAAAGACAGATCAGGAGGCCCCACTGGTTTCCCCCTCCTCCTTGCATGAATTCTCCCTCCCTTCTTCTGACAGATAAACAGAAGAGTGAGCCTGCAGGATTAGCTGCTGTGCACTGCCTCTCCTCCCTCTCCATGTTCCTCCGAAAGAGGGGGATGAAGGGGGCGGTGTTGTTCACCGGGCTTGATATCCATGTATGCATATAGGCACATGTGTGTGTGTGTGGAGCAAGCTTAGCACAGAGGATGCTATTGTGTTTGAAACACACGCCGCAGAAAGTTTAAGTCTGAGGAAAACTTTATTCTTTGATCGGTGTTTAACTTTCAGAACAGAAAGCGAGAGAGAAAGAGAGAAAACAAGTACATTGGAATCATTTTGTATAAGGTTTTTGTGCAGATGATAATAAACTGCTTTCCCGACCTTATAAAGTAGTGAAAACATGTACATAAAAGTTAAAAGGAAAAAAAGAAAAGTCCAGACTTCTTGAAGAAAAAATATTTTATTCGATCAGAAAAACCATGAACATCCAAATGATTTTCATAATAGCAAAGCAAAAATTTCATCCTCTTTTCTGAGTCAAATCTATTTGACTTACAAACACTTCTGCTTTTTTTTTTTTTTTTTTGTCGCGTCTGTTTGAGGCCTCAAATTCACACGAAATGACACACAGGACACCGAACTGAGCCGTTGTTGCTCTAATAAAAATGAAATGATAGTTTCAAAAGTCTAATTCACACATAGTAGGTACGAGCCTATAGGTCGTCCAGGAAGAGTTTCAATAATAATAAACCAGATGTGCATTTTCTACTAAGTCAAATACTGTTTTTCGTTACGACTAAAACTGATGCTGATGCACATGATGGAGAAAACGCAGCTGAGCTTTGTGGCAGTGGTCCGGTTCAAAAACGAAAATCAAGTTACATCCATACACAGACTGAAGTTTAAGGTCAAACTCTTCTGTTGCAGATCAGCCATGCGCTTCTAAGGCATATATACGTATTCAAGGCGGATATTATCGATAGGTGAGCTTCGGCTAAAGCGAGGCTGCCGCAGGTTTCTTGGGAACGCGTCGAATAATTCAGTTGCGACTCAGAGACGCCGAGTGCAACACTTTGCAGCAGTGCAAGTTCATTTTACTGTAATTCAGGTCGGATCTTCTACAGAATTAGGACTGCAAGGACTGAGGTCATTCTTAGCTGGGCTGATCTCAGATCTGCTTTGAAAGTGAGAACATTTGGTTTATATAAACTAATTAAACAGATTTGATACTCTGACTACTACAAATACTTTCAGAACTTATTTCATTTCTCACAGATTGTGTAAAAGACATTTAGCTTGAATTGTGAATACTTCAGTAATCACACACTTTTTTTTTTGTGGTGCCTCTGTGTTTTTTAAGGCAGAATGAAATTAGAGCCAGCTTGAAATGAATACAAACAAACAAAACAAAACGCTGAAAGTGTTCATTTATACTTTTAAAGAGTACTTACTGGCTATAATGCTGATTTGTTTAATACCAAACACTTTAAACTGACAATACTCGTGGTAATCTCACCACATTCGTCTTTATATATGGAAGATTATTTGCGAAATGATTATTTTTATGGTTTGAAAGTTCGTGGGTACTGAGGGTGACGTGACGTCGCAACCTGAAACATGCCACATGCCAGCATGTTGTAAAGCTTTGTCAGCTGCTCACGCTGCATTAGACAGCGATGCTTTATCTGTGTACGGTCACAGTGGAGGGAGGGTGTATTTATGTTGCACACTCTGAGAAGAGAACAAACCAAAAAAACGGCAAATCCCACTGCGAAAGCAAAAACGTGCGATCAAAAACTATTACGTGTGTTTTTTGCGGTGACATTTCAAACATCGAAACATTCACGACGCCCGCTTTGTTTTTCTGAGGCTGATTATCTTGTGTGAAATGTAAACAGCAGCCACTGGGAAGTACTGCATAGCTTCTTGGCTGTCCTGTACGTCAGTGGATCACAGTGTAATGTGGAAATGCGTCGCTCACCGCAACACACACCTTCATACCTGCAGCTTTCCCGATGATACAAGAAACAGGAAGCCAGGGGATCTGTGACAAAAAAAACACCTGAGAACGGCCGGTTGATAAAAACGTGGCATTTTTTTTCGACTGAAGAAACCCAAGAAGCAAACATCTGCGAGGTTGTGACTTTAAAGAGATAAAGATATAGATATGTTTACCGTATAACTCAGAATCAACACAGGATTTGGTTTCATTTCGACTTTGATGCGCCTGATGATGGTTTTCCAGCAACTAAAGTTTCCAGATTTTATGGAAACTTCCAGACATTCTGCAAAGGCAGCCACAGGTCATAAAATAGTCACTATTGTAACTCAAGGGTCAAGAATGAACCTGACATATTTTACTTATTGCACACTTTGTCCTCTGGAGAAACATGTTATGTATTACTATTTACTCATTGAATAAAGGAGCCATGCCAGCGACGTTTATTGCTACCTGGTAAAGATGAGCAAGAAGGTCTCAAATAAAATCACATTATTATTATTTATGTATTTACATCATCTCACAGTGAAAATTGTGGAAAATCCAACCTTTATTTTGAGTAAATCAATTTAGATCAGGCCTGGAAAAAAAATTCAACCTGACCCGGCAATGCGATCAGACAGAAATGTTGATATTTCTATTCAACTACCTCCCACTGTATGGCTTTTGTATCTGCAAGAGACGTCGATACTTTGGAGGAACACTTATCTGACGCGTTGAGGAAATATGTACCTTTGTTTTTCACTAAATCACTGCTATAATAAGACCGTCAAATGGCTAAAAACTCCTGAATGGGAATCGCAACGTCGTTCATGGAGGCTGTCTGTAGAAATGCGTGGTGCTCCCTCTGTGACCGTTTTGTAAAACCAACATGGAAGATCCAGAAGGGGAACGTTGGCGGTGGTCTGCAACCTTGTGACCTCACGCCGTTTGGATTCGGATGATGCGTGTGCGAGCGTTTAGCGCTCACTGCTAGTCTTGATGGAGGGTCTGTAATGCTGTGACGGTCTGCTTTTCTTCCAAAATAAATGTTCAGGGAACATTATTCATGGGATTATAAACGTTCTAAAGTAGATAGAAAGACACGTTGAATTAAAAACGTCGACAGAATCGGTCTGACAAACGACCCTGTACCACAGTCATCTCCTCCTCCGGATTGAAATCCTGCAGAAGGAACCTGAAGAGACCACAGGATAAAAACCTCAACGATTCCTCTCTCTAAAATGCTTCAGGAGAAGATCAATCGCTGTTCTATTAGCAAAACCAGTTTGTACAAAATATATAGAACATCAACTTTGTGTTTTTCCCCACTGAAACACTCAAACAGATTTTCAGAGTGAGATAACACCGCTTCAATAACACGTAATTTTATTTTATTTTTTTTTGTCTTTACCAGAAGCGCCAATAAATGCCACCAAAACCAAACCAAGATATGTTTGTTGCCTTGCCGGCACGGAATGTCGTCATCTGGAAAAGACCGAAAGAAATAATATCTAATTCACGCACACAATCACAAAAATACACTATTTTCTATTCCACAGTATTGGGTCAATATATACTACTACAACATGAGCTTGATAAATAACTCCGACTCACAAACCTCTTGAAAAATAATGATACTTGTCACAATGAGCCAGGTGTGAAGATTCACACATCAGTAAAATCAGAGTAATCAGCAGCATTTTAACAACTCAAACGGGAACTGAAGAGGGAAATTACAGACGACGGTTAACAAATTAAGATCAGGCCTATCCTTTCATCATCATCGCAAACCATAAAGCGATACCGATAGTGGACTCATAGCATGCATGCTGGAGATTACTTGTTAATTGCAGTAAAATTGCAGTGGAAAAGAAAAAAAAAAATTATATCAAATCTGTGTCTCCTGCAGCAACCGATGCTCTTTTCATTTGAAAGTGCCATAATGTGTTAATGCACCGCACTGCTGTAACACACGCACACACAAATTAAGTTCTTTGTACTGACCCCTGACTGGGATGAATGAGATGTTTTAAGAGAAATTAAAGGTGGAAATTGAGGAAGCTGCAAATTGCTCCGCACCGCGAGTCAAAGCCGGCCTCCACGCTGAGCGAAGGGAACAGTGAGCGATGTTTGTTAACAGTGACTAGTTTGAGCTGGAAAACGCTAATGAAAGCCTGACGTGTATGGGAAACTGTCATGTAATTCAACGTAATTTCAAATGAATGCATAGGGATCACCTTGTGAAGTCGATAAATCCAGAACGGATTTAACTAGCAGATTAACTGCGAGCTATAGAAGCTGAGCGGCCATCTTCTGGTGTTTGGAATATGGCTGGAGGTGACATAAAAAAAAAAAAAAAATGCAAACAGTGTGGAGTGTTACATATAGCAAAGAGCTCCCTTATTCTATTTTACTGAGCTTGATTAACAGGTTGAGGTCCTTTGGTCAGGGTGACGAGGACAGGGTAGTGGATGTTTTCATCGTACGCCTGCTTTCCTTCTCTCAGCATCTGAAAAAGAACAAGACGGGGAAAGCAGTGACTAAAGACACCACGACAGATATCTTAGCGTGACGCTGCACATGTAGGAAAAACACACAGCCTGATGGGGGGGAAAGTAGCACTTCAGCGAAACGTGGAGTGAGTGCAAAAGCATAGCCTACATGAAACATCTTGGACGGGTAAATCTGGAAGGTAAGAACTAAAAACGAGCAAAGAGAGTCACGTTTAAGACGAATGGTTTTGCATGTGTGGGGGGTGGGATGCTTTTGAGATTTCAGTAGAAGATTTCTGTTCAGTTTTTGCACCAGTTTCTAAATAGCAAAGTGGAGAAATGAAGGACAAAAAGAGGAAGTGACAGTCCAATCTGGTTGAAAAGAAAAAACTGAATCCGAAAGTGATTTTTGCTGGACAGATTGGAAAACCGCTTCCAGCATTGACTTTAAAAACTTTTTCATGTCTGAATTAATAAGTTATCAGAGTTACTTCAGAAGGTGTTAAGGATTACTGATCACTAGTTGGTTGGAAAAATAATTGGAAGCAATGAAAATAAATTTAGTCAAAGTGGTTTAATGCCACCTATAAGATATACAGTAAGGTGACTGTTATATTAGATTAAGATTAAACACAATCATGGGTTAATGAGAGCAAGATTACGACAGTATTCAAAGGGGGAAAATGAGATTCACAAATGAGTTATAGAAATTTTCTATGATGCATTTTTACATTTCTTTGAGAATACGGGAAGCATTCTGGATTGAAATGAACACCTGAGGTTGTGCGTCAGGTTTTCCCTCAACACTTCTCTCCCTCAGTACCTGTCACACATCCTGCAACACCATCACCTGGTGCTGTGAACGTGTGAAATCCTCCCTCCGCTCCACAACACTTCACCTCACTCTCCTTTTTGCTAATTTCTCTCCCGTTAGATAAATACGAACCCACTGCTCGGGTCTTCCCCTCCCTCATTCTTCTCCGTCCCTTTATTTCACCATTTATTTTGCTAACAGCCGCCCCTTTATGGATGTCATCTTCGTGTTGCTTTCCCTCCGGGCGGCGGCCAGTGGTCGGACCTCTGACCTCCGGGGGTGACGGTCAAACAACGGAGGAAGGAGGGTAGAACCAGCTGTCTGGGTGTACCTGGGGGCAGCTGCTGGTCCTTCTTTGCTGAACGGAGCCAACGTTGGCCAAAGCAGACGCAGCGAGGAAGGAAGTGGTGGAAGGAGGGATAAAGAAGAAAGAGGGAGGGTTTGGGGGGGCGCTTACACCGTGAGGGCTGAGAGCTCGCAGAGGTGAAAAGTTTAACAAGCAAAGCTGTTCCTCCTGATCGCAGGCTACCTAATCAGCTTCATGGGTGGCTGGCTAAATCGGCTCTCTACCCGACCTGCCACCTCACCACCACCTCGTCAGCCTCCCTCCCTACTCTTCTCCCCACCCCACTCCTTTCCAAGGTGCAAGCCATTTATTTTATTGCCACTTTCACCCCAGCCTCCTCTCATTCTGCCTCTACGTTTCCCTGCTGCTTCTTTTTTTTCCCCCCTTCTTTGTCCTGCTTGTGTGGACTAAAAGAAAAAAAAATGAACAAGGTAGAAAAGGATGAAGAAGGAGGAGGTGGGAGGAGGAACTAGATGGAGACAAGGGGAGGGATGGATAAACTGGGTGTCTGGGGTCTCTCTCGGCAGGCTTAGGAAACGGAGAATAAGGGATTGGATGGTTGGGAAGATGGGTCGAGGAAGGGATAGAAGGACAGGCTTGAATAAACCAAGAAGTGGGTCGTGATGTAGGAAATGGGAAGATAGAGGGGAGCCGAGGGAGAGAAGGAAGGAGAGGGGAGAGGGGTGAAGGGAGAGGGTCAAGGAAGACATGCTGGCGAAATGGACGATGAGGAAGAGGGTCCTCTGGCAGCTGATGGGGAGAGAAAAACATGGAGGCAGAGAAAAGGAAAGCAGAGAACAGAGACACAGTGGGGATACTACTTATGCATGTGAGAGACAGCGATGTAAACGTGCGCGCGTGTGGGGCTGTGTGTGTGTGTGTGTGTGTGTGTGTCGGTTTGGGAAAAATTAAAATTCATGACTCTCTTCACAACCATTTGAGTAACAAGATTAAGATGGCGGTTTAGAAAATAGTGCTGGCATTATCAGGCTGCTTGCAGTCCCTCCAGCTGCTTGCCTCTCTATTCCACAACAGTGGGGATAAGAGGATAACGTGCCGGCCCTGTCTGCCCGTCCCACCACATGTCTCACAGTCACAATCCAACACACACGCACACACGCACACACACACACACACACACAGATCTTAAGACACACTCCCTCCGCACAGTGGCCTGCCTGCTTGCGTGCTGTAGGAAGTCCTGAGAGAGTTTATGTCGCATAGTGAAAATGTGTGTGTTTGTGAAATTGCTGAGTTAAAAAGGTTCACAGTTCCTTCAATTAAGAGCTAAGAACTGATAAATGATTTCACAAAAAAAACAACAAGATGGACATATAAATTAAAAGATAATGTATACTACTAAACTACAAATTATGATTGTAAAAAAAAAAAACTGTTGGGTTTTATTTGTCAGACCAACCCACAGGTGATCGTAAACAAAACTTATAAATATCTAAGTTTGTTTAAAATGAAAGACAATAAAACCAGCTCTAGCACATTTGAATCACTGCTACAAAAACAATGAAACTGTGACTCAAATATTGAAGCAATGACCCAACGATAGCATAATTTCACAGTATGTTAGCATGACGCTTTACTCACGTCAGCATGCGAGAGGCTTGAAACTGAACCTTATTTAATTTGACGCCAAGTAAGCAACATCTGAACGCCTGGGAGCAGTCGTAGAGCATTTCAATTTCTTCTCTGGAGAGACGACAGTTTGTCTTTCAATGTCAAAACCTACAGCAACATCAGCACTAAAATGAGTCTCAACAGGCCAACAGACACCAAGAAAAGTGACAAGACTTGACGTTACACAAACATGGATTCTAAAACTGAAATAATTGGACACTAACTTTTTTATTGTGTGTGAAACAAAGACAAATTAGGTTAAAATAACTTATTCTTACATATTTATGTAATGAGTCTCCAGGTGTGTTCCCAAAGCAATGAGCAAAGCTGGTTTGCTGTGAAATGTCACATTCTGCTGCACTGAAGCAACAGCTTACTGATTTTCTTTGCTGACTTATTCTGCTTATTTGTAGCGAAATGACAAAATATACAATATTTACAAAAGTTATACACAGTGGAAAATGTTCTTTTCGTTAAAAATAAACATGTTCAGAATATGTTTTAAAGCCATTACAGCACCACAGAGAATGTCTCCATTTTCTGTACGCAATTTCTCAGCAAAAATGAGACAATCTCCCTTTTAACAAGGGATGACATCTTAAAATGTCATCCAAAGCAATCTAAACAGATAGCATTTTCAAAAGTATGGCCGATCAGAAATTTACCATGTCCATATTATTGGTTTGAGAAAACAAAAAAACAAATGTATAGAATTTGACTAATGTAAACTTGGTACAAAGTATATCGTATGTTTATCTTAAGAAATATTGCTTCCTGTGTAAATAAAAACTAAGGTAGTAGAGTTAAAGTCCATTCAACATATTTAACTCCTGGATTTGTCTGTAAAACAGAGCAACCATCAAAACCAGAACTAAATTAACTATCAGTATTTTTTATGTCGCCTATTTTTTCATTTTGTACTTGGGAGAACATTTGAGACGCACAAACCACAGCAACCAAATTTGTGAAACTTTCCTAAGCATTTTCTTTGATCTATAAATCTGATTTTGACATTTTTATCCATAAAAATGCCCCTAAAGCAGCACTTTAGTGAAGAAAAAAAATTTCCCGTGTTTTTTTTTTCCTTTTCCAGATTTCATTTCTGTCCCAGAAAAAAAAAACACAACACAAAAAAAAAAGAAAAAGAAAAATAAGATAATCTGTGCAAATGAGCAGCAGCTGTTCCTTGGGAAGTGTGCACGTGCGAGTGCGTGCACAGACGTGGTGTATGTTTCCCAGCGATATCATCATGCGGTGTGTGTTTGTGTATAATGTCAAGCCAACATGCTGTCTGAGGGATGTCTGGTCTGTGTAGTGTTGTGATACAGCTTTAGTCTTATGTGCTCACAGCGTGTGTGCTTGTGTGAGGTTTGGTGTCTAGAGTGGTCAGTCGGGCACCTTTCAGACACATGCACACACACACCCACCCACCCACACACACACACACACACACACACACACACACACACACACACACACACACACACACACACACACACACACACACACACACACACACACACACACACATTGCGGTTCTTCAGAGTGTTCATCAGAAGATAGGAGGCTTAATCATCTTTAGATGTGGTGGGTGGGGGTCTGGGGGGGCACTTCAGCGTATCCTGATATCCACACAGCGCCGTGTGCAGGTGCAACTTCTTGCTTTTCTTACAGAAGATGCACAAAAATATTAGATTTCAAAATATAAATGTAACGTTCCCACAGCTCAGCTTGGTTTAATGCAACACATTTAAAAATGTAAAAATAATAAATCACTTCGTTCTGGCATTTTGTTTCACCTACTCAAATCTTTGGACCTATCAATGTTCTTCACATTGAGTCTATCAGGGATGATAAAAGGCAGTAGAGACATTAGGTAAACTGAGACGCATGTTACTTAACATTTTTCTGCAACAGTTTAATGTATTTATTTGACTTTTTTTGATTTTAGTAGTCTTTTGGCAAACTCCATTGATCCTACATCTTCAAAGTTTGCATTCAAATTTAGACGTCATACAAAACAGCAAATGGAAATTGTTTCAATGTTTAACACAGAACTAAAAATAAATGTTTAGTTTCTGAAAACCCACCAGTTGGGATTCATAGTCGAAATATGACACTTTGGGGACACTTTAACTATAACTGACTGTTTAATTTTTGCTAAATGTTTGTAGCAACGCCAAATGAGTGCGGGTGAAAAATAAGTGCACTATATGTCTGCAGAAAAGACGTGTGTGATGCATCATCAGGTGGTTTGGTATTTAGCTTGTCTGAAAGCGTTCAGAACGAATCCATATCCAGAAATACTGCGCACAAATTGTTTATTAAATCATGAGATGATGTTCTCCATGTTCACCTAATGAGGATCAGCATATAAAATCACAAAACTGACAAAAATGTTAATGCAACAGGAACTTTGTTGCATTATTTTTTGATATTATTTTGCATAAGTATAGTGTAATTTTTCAAATTAAACGACATCCCAAAAGAGACTCATCACTGACTGACTATATATATATTTATTCGATGCATGAACAAAATATTTACTATGACAGTAGTAGGTAAGGTCTACAGAAAGGGAACATTTTGGACCTTAAAATATGTGAGGTGTTTCCAGAACATCTAAAGTTGGCGAGGTAAGAAAGAACAGTAAATAGAGGGGAGAAAGGCAGAGATTTTCCTCGCTGAGGTTTAAGCCACTTTAACAGCCACTTTAATGGCCGGACTGTCCAATTCTCGCACCAGTGTAGGTGAACGCGCGCGCCAATTTAGTCCACTCCTTGCTGTCCTGTTCTTCTGTAGCAGTGTGTGTAATGGAGTTAACAGCTGGACACCACTTCTTTTAACTCGGCCTACTCATGGGCTTTCTGTAGCTAAGCGTCACAAAAAGGTGCACCTTGCTCGGTCTGAACTGTTGCTGGTTCCCCTGTCAAGCAGTGGTGGCTTTTGTTCCTTTACTATCAAGGTCGGGTTTTAACGGAGATTAAAAGAAAAGTCTCTTGCTTTGAGTGTAATCTCGAGGTTTCTTCTTGTTTCTGATTAGTCAGGAATCCTAGAGGGGAAACATCTTGAGTTTCTTTACAGAAAGAACATTAAGTTGCAAAGCTGGACAATACGTATGCAGATGGGGGAGTCAGGGGGAAGATAATTACCTTAAAAGCAAATTGTCTAACATCTGTTTTTCCTTCATCAATATGAACAGTGCTCACCATGTTTTATGGGATCCGCTGGTAAAGATGTGCAAAAAGCCTGTTGCAGAAGCATAATCGCCCAGCAAACCAATTTATTTCAGTTCTCTAACATTAAATACGGTACATTTCTCTCTTAGCATTCTCCTGAATGTGGCGCTATCAACATAACTCCAGGTCCAATGCCTTATTTATCATGGTTCCAGTTGTTTCATGTATTTAAACTATTACTTTGGCTATCGATCAGCAGGTTTGTGTGAAGAGAAATGTCCTCACAGAAGTTGAAAAATCACCGCACACCTGCCGGCCTTGCTGCATTGATATGTTCTCCTGTTTCTCCCATTTTGAAGAGAGACTGAAGGAAGTGGTTGTCTGCGTCACACCAAATCCAGAACCGAGAGGACGACAGCAAACTCTGAACATCTATTTGTTCAGGGGAAAGAAGGGAGGAAATATTGCTTCATTGACCTTGACTGTCAGTAGTGCCATTAACTATAAAACTGCCAATTCGAAATTAAGAAATCAATTTGCTAAATAGAAAGACGGTAATTTAAAAAAAGAATCATCTAGGATGAAGAGGGTTTTTTAGCCATCTCGAAAAGGATGTATTTCACAAGCTGCAAAATTAAATGCTGTTTTTGCATCACATGATTCAATCAATCAATCAAACAGGACATTTCAAAGAGCTCTACTTCTTTAGTCTAGATTTAAAGGAACTCGGTGTTTCTGCTGTTTTGTGGACGTTTGTTCCAGATTTGTAGTGATCAATAACTGGATGTTACTACTGGCCAAAACCACAAAGGAGACAACAGGAAGTGGTAAGAGGACAATGGTTTCGTTTTTGTTTTGTGTTTGTTTTTTCGGACAATGGCTCCACCACGTTTGTGTTATTCAAACGTGTTCAATTTATCTTAAAGCTATTTATGCAAAGGAATGCCAGCAATGGGGGTCAGTTTTCTTTGGTTCCTTACCTTTAGATGAACATCCCAGACCTGAGCGTCGTACTGCTGGTGTTGGGAGACGCACAGACCGGTCTGCTGGGCCAGCCGACAGAACAGTGTTAAAGTTTCACCTCTTCCAGGAGCAAACACCAACGCCATGCCCTGAGTGTGAAAAATAATGATGATAATATTTTTTTTCTTCTCAACTTAGAACATTGAGCTGAAATAATAGTGTGCAGTGTGTAACTCACACAATTTATCACAGCTTATTTCTGTTTATTTTAATGCCTACAAGCCATACATGTTGCACAATAAACAAAACTCTGTCAGAGAAAGAAAGGAAGAAAGAAGGAAAAGCAAAATCAAAGTAGTATATGCATCACAGAAATCCTGCAAACGCTCAGAAGCTTAGTAACAAGTTCAAAGCTTCTTTGTAATCCTTCAGCTTTCAGTTTCATTTCATGTTGCTTTTTCTTTTTCTTTCTCTTTCTCTCTCTTAATTAAATGAAGCGACGATGGATGCTGACACAACCTCAAACATTCAATAAACAGACAAAGAAATGCACAATCACACATCACGGGTTAAAAGCACACAAAAGGCAATGAAAACAGCAGGATCACTTGCTTTGACAGATGAATTGTCATCTGTATATCCAGTTGGATTCTGTCTCTCTCTATCTCTCTCCTTTTTTTTGTTCTCTGTCTAAAAGCAAACAAACAGATTCCTTCCAGCTCTAATCAGCTGAATAAGAGGATACAGCCCAACGGATGGACCACCTTTGTCAGAAACAACAAATTAGTGCCATTAGAAGGGAGAAGTAATTGCTTTGTTAATTGTTTAATCAGCTTAGCAAATTATTAAATATTTGCCAAAGCTTGTTGTGGCAGCAACAGTCTGATGGCCCACACTCAAATCATATTAGCCCCCCGAATTATCTCCGCCGGATTAAAGACAGAGACACGAAGAGCCTTACCGCACAGCTGTACGGCGGCGGCCAGATGACGTGCCCGCCATTTGTCAGCTTTCGGCATTAAAACCGCGGCAGCTCACTTATCCCGTCCGCAGCGTGAAGGCAAACTACTTCCATCACTGAACATTTGCACGTGACTTTAAAACCTTTCAATAGAATCTGTGAAAGCTCACCTAAACATTGAGGTAAGTTTCAGGAACAGAATGCTTCCATATGTTTGTTGGGAGGTCTGGGAATAAATTCCTTTGAACGTTGTTTCCTGTTTCCCTGGATTATTTGGGTTTTTGTAGTTTTCACACAGTTTAATGCCAGCTTCCTCAGTCAAAAGGTTAATTTAAGGCCAAACATGGGAATTCTGTATGTATTCAGATCTTATAGGATCATAGATAAGGGTCTTTACACAAAAAAGAAGAAGAAGGATGAAGCTATTTCATCAAGTGTCCTGAGACGCTTTAGACGAGTGACTGGTTATTTCATCTGTTCACCATTTCCTACTTTTGTTCTCTACACGTCTTTTTCTTGGTGCAAAAAAGCTGCCATCTTTGATGAGTGTTTCACACCTGCGTCGTCGATTGATGATTAAAGTACATTCTTATATGCTTCCAACTCTCTGTGGTTCTACGACTAGAGAACTTAAGTACAATGTGAAATAAACTGATAACGGTATGCTAGCAGCTCAGACAACACGTTTGACAAATAAAGTTGACATAAGAGTTTCTTATTTCAGCTACCTGCATTGTCACGAAGAATCACACGTTTCTGGTTGCTTCTGTTAAACGGAGCTAAAGTTAAGCCTGAAAGTATTCATAACTCCAGAACTAGCTTTGAAATTAATTCAATCTCAAAAGAAAAAGAAAAAAACCAAACAAAAAAAAAATTGTCTTATGAAAAATCTCAAAAGCTAATAAGAACATGCATACGGGGTAAGACTTCATTACGTCTGAACAAAAAACAAATATTTACAACCTTCCTAATAATTAATAAATTCCACTACAGCAGCTGTCTAATTTATTTGTATGATTATTCCGTTTCTTCTTCGTCTTCTTAACATCTCCATGCTTTATGTAGCATTTCCCAGAACTGATCTCCTCTATAGCAGTTTGGCCTCTGTACTCGAACGAACTCCGTCTTCCCTCAGATGAATTGAATCCCAACCCTATCTCTTCCACCACCACCCCCATATTGGCTTTGACTGTCACAGCATGGGGTCTTATCGCAGGGCCAAAAGGGAGAAGTCGCCTTGGATTTATGATTAAGGGAACGGAAGAGGAAGACCGAGATCAGAGCGCCGCATTCAAGTTGATCATAATAAGCATTAAAGTGTTACATGATATTAACCCTGTTAGTTTATTAATATCTGTAGGGTTTGGGTGGGGGTGCCTAATTATGATTGAGAGAAGTGTGCGGGGGGAGTTAGGAGGGAGAGGATAAGCAGATATACACAGTAGACACACAGGAACACACACACACATGAATACTTACGTTGGGTCGCAGTAATCTCCTTATGGCATCAACCAGACAGGCTCTGTACTGGTCGAGAAACAAACTGAAAGGGAGATGGAGGCTCAGGTTAGAATGAGTTCTGCAGATGGCAGGGCCGATAAAGCTGCAGGCTATTTTTTTTTTCTTTTTTATTCTTTTTTGCTTTGTTTTCTAATAAATTCACAGAGAGGGAGAGGAGAAAAACAATTTGCATGGGTAAGATGCTCTTGGCCTGTTTTCAACGAGCAGCCAGCTCAGCCCGGTGTCGAGGCGCTAAGAGGAATAAAGAAGGTCAAAAAAACATCCAGCATGCACAGAGACACACACACACATATATATATGTTTGTATATATATATAAAATCTTTCAGGAGCAAGCAATAACAGCGTTGAAGAAGTCAAATTTATAGCCCTATAAATTAATTAGTATGAATAAAAAAGGAGAGCATCCAAAACATCAACTTTTTAAAGGGTTTTCTATTCTATTATTCTGTCTGTGTTACAATCTGAACCCCCCGCTGTGAAATCCATATGATAATTGTTTCCATCACACAGTTTGAAGACATGAGAGCTTATATGAAAGATTTAAACGGGGCGCTTCTTCAAACACACTTTTTCCTGTTTAAAAGTTTGTTCTCCCGCTTTTATTGTTGAATTTTGCTGCGTGAATTTCTGAGAAAATTTTTGAATTGACATATAGTATCTATATGGGCAAATATGAGATTTCTCATATCGCTTTCTCACTTTTCCGCATAACTGTGTGGTCTCAAAAGGAAAGTTTGTGCAACAAAGAACGAAGAAAACTGCACATTGTGTTCTTCGAAAGGAAACTTGTAAGTAAAACAAGCATTTCTGCCTTACATTACAAAAACTCAAGCTTCCTCCTTCAAACAGAAGAATCCTCACAGTGTTGATACGAATTGAGAACCGCTGACAGGATGCAGAGTGACAAAAATCACAATAACTACAAACCGAGTAACTGCCTAACCATGATGACAAATTTAAACCATTATGCAACTAATATAAAGTCTGTGTGTGTGTGTGTGTGTATGTGTGTGTGTGTACGTATGTGTGCATGTGCCCTCCGGTCACAGATAAGGAGGGAGTAATTTGACTAAAATGGAACAATCCGGTGCAGATTTGACATAATCCCGCACATCCGTCCACCTGGATAGTGGCGTGGCAATCTGGACTCCGTTCCTCCCATTGTGGTGTCCACTTTTCCTCTTAGAACATCCTCTGATCTCCGTCACGCACCAAAAGTGCTCAAACCAGAACGCCTCTGTTCTGCCAAATCTTCCACAGAATTGTGTTTGTTAAGGTGCTTTAATCTGTCAAAACTGTAATTAATACTGCTTGGCAGACTAATTTGTGTTCCATATAGAAACCAAAAAAATAAAAAATACAGGATGTGTTTGTATATGAGGAGAATGTATGATTCTTTTAAGGGCTGACAGAAGGTTATTTGGCTGTAGAGGTGAGAGGCTTCTGTTTGGTTTATTTTGCCAAACATATCAATTCACAGGAAAAGTGAGTGGCAAGGAAAACAAGGAAGTGAGCTCGTTGGGTGGAGGCAACAGCTGAGAAACACACACACACAGAGGCCAAGGGAAGGACAGAGTGTCATTCAGGGGGCAACAGTTTACCAGAAGAATGAAAAAGCTGCTGCCACGACACACAAACTGTGATGCTGTGATAACAAAATGCAACTATAATAGGGAGAAAAACAATTAACTAGGAAATAAAGAGAATATAGATTTATTCTAAACTAGAAAATTCCTAAAGAAATTTAACTGGGGCCTGCCAAAGTGTGCCGTTCGGTTTGGACCCAAGGTTCTGATGCTACAAATTAGCAGCAATGCTCAGCTTGGCTAAAAAATTACAAAGTATTGTGGAGAATCACAAGAATGTTCACTAACATGGACTTGCACCATTCAGTATGTTAAAAGTAGTGTATAAGCCAAAATGCTAATGTTAGCATGAATACTGTCAGTAGCATGTGGAGCATCACTAGCATGTTGTCTGTAATTGACTTACTCCATTCAGTGTGCTAAACATGGCTAATAAGTAAGAGAAATAGCTAATACCTTATTAAAAGTAAAAGGCTAATGCTAACCCAAGAGAAAAAGATAATGCAGGGTAATCTTATTGTGCTGCCTTTGGCAGTGCACTAGTGGGGGGCAGTGAAATGTTAATGTTTGTGCTAATGTTAGAGCCCTAACCTGAGAGAAAAAGTCCAGCTCAGTCCTCAGAGTCCTTAAAACTACAGTGATGCGTTTTTGTAGTCCTAATCAGCTGCTCTGTCCTGCTGTGTTCCGTTGCTATGGTAATGGATCCTCTGCCAGCTGTGAGTCAGAGACAGAATTCTATGTCTACCAACTGACACTGTTTTGTGTCAGTTAGTCTTTTGTTTTGACTCGAATTTGGCTCGATTTTTGTTCATTTTGTCGCCACATTTAGTCAAAATGCCAACAAAAGTAATAGCTCCAATGCCGGGACCGAGCCGCACGTTTTGATATATATATTTAATGTGAGGGGGCACGTAGCGGTACCGGCCGCATTCTGAGGTGAAGAACAATATGTGGTTGCCATATATTTCTATTGCAGGCCCCAATTATAATTTCACACAAGTCAACTAAAACCTCCAACATAGAAGAGGCAAGTGACAACATTCGTTGCAAAAATACCCCAAAATTATTTCAGAGAGCAGTGCGTCAGCCAATAAATATGAATTAGGACGCTAGACTCATCACAGAATGTTTTATGAAGTTAACATTTTTCAATTTTCTCACAACAATACTTCCAATATGGAAGATTTTTTTTTAGTAGACAAAACAAGATGAAGCCGTCTACAACACACAGTTTGAATGTCAGGGTCACGCTCCCAAATTAAGTCGTCTTCCCCCTCAGAGGGCTTCCAGGTCACCCCCAATGCATCCAGACAGTCGGGGCCCCATTGTCTGGCCGCGACCTCTCCCATCCAGAACAGCCCAGTGAACTCCCGTTTAACCCGACTGGAGGTCGTAGGTCAGAGCGCGGGTGTGTGAGACTGTGTTTAAGCATCGCTTCTATATATGTCTGCTGACACGTACGACAACATATTTTTAAACGATGCAAGGGCGAGACTGTGGAAACGAACACGGTCATCCGCAAAGCCTCATTCCTCAGATCGATGAGAAGTTTGAAGCTACGACCAAATAAAGTCTGAATAAATTAAAGAGGTATTTGATTTAAGGAAATATTTACATATATAAATGTGGACGTGATGATCATTTCTTTTTTTGACTCTAGTGGCCTTTATTTGAAAGTAGGTAATGAGGCATGGACGACAAGAACATCAGGCCAGGAATCAAGGACTAAGGCGACAAACCTGCACGATCTGTGTCCAAACTTTTGATTTTTAACTAGATAAAGTAAAGTTACTATGTGGCGTAATATAAATCTCTCTCTCTCTCTCTTTCTTTTTTTATGTTTAACTCATAATGTTGGGATAAAACTTCAAGTAATAGTAATTCCTGAGCCAACACGCCAAAATCAAATGACCCAATTTGCTCAACAGCATGTACTTCAGCTGCTGAGAGGCCTGGTAACCAAATAATCTTTAGATTCAGGTGTGTTGCATCTAAACCTTGCACAAATATTATGTTGTGAGGACTGGATTCGCTCTAGTGGTCAAATAATTATTGGCCGTTTCATCAGAAACTGCCACGTTAGTATGCCACTCAGAGTGAATCTTCATTAGTGCAGACAGAGCGTGAGATTAATTTAGCCTGCAACATTCTCTCATAATCTCTCTACATGTACAGAAAATGTTGCAAAACCGAACTTGGCTGCAGATCAAACTGTACAGACCCGTTCAATAAACTGGGATATAATTGAAAAGCCCATTTCTAGAACTTTATCACCAAATGAAGCACATTAGATAAGTTAATTACACACAGATAGATGTTTGAAAGCATTTACTTGAGTTAATTATGGTGATTTTCCACTTACAGCTAATTAAAACAAACCATTCAAAATATACTAATATATACCAATAAAAAAAAAAAGAAATTTAAGTAAGGCAGACACACTTGCTTTCTGCAAGCGGCGTGTTTGCAGAAAACAAAACAGCTCACGCTTTCAAATCCCTCAGGTGGCAAAAGGCCAATCTTGCTGCATAAAAGAATTTTTAGAGAGGAACAATTTTACTACAAAAAAGATTGATTTTTATGCAAAAAGAAATCAGGTGGAATTTATTTATTTATTTTACAAATATCTTTGTGGGGAGTTAAATTTCTTCTCCATGGTGTGCAATTTCCATGGTTAAACTCACTGCAAGTTTATCAATATAAGTGTTACTCATTGTTTTCTGAACGGCGCTCTCTCTCATTTTTTGATGTGTGATCACTGCAGACTTATGATCCAAATTAATGTCAGAGTCTGAGATGAGAAGGGAAGAGTTTATTGTGAATGAATACATCTTGTGTTGCACCATGAGATTCATACGAAAGTTGTTATTGTGAATATTCATTAACATACACTGTGCGTGAAAGTAGTGGCCAATCGTTGAAAGGTGGTGTGAATCTGGCCAGACTCAAACGTACAACTAGTCAGAATGCAAGCCTTTGTGTTTAAGAAAAGTGACACCGCTTAATTTCATCATCTTTTTTTTGTTTATCTTCTTGACAGCACCACTGACACAAGTGATCAGACAGACTTCTGCATGCCAGGAACCCGACCCAGTCAGCTTGATCCAAACTAAAACGCAGCAAAGCCAGCAATTTGTCACAAACAAAAACCTGCATCCACACATGGAGTATTTCACAATGATGCAGACACAGAAGCAGAGCTTTATCTCAATGCACACACACACACACACGGGCGGATTTTGGAGAAGGCAGACATTCCGAGCGTCCCGGCCAAAGATTCCTTGCCATCCACATGTCCAATGCAGGAATCCCCGTCTCTCCAGGTCTCCCCGTGTCTGCCAGCCATAAATGTGAGGAGACAGACGACACTCCAGCAATCTGTGTGTTTCCCAATGCTCACTCCTGGTGAGCAGGTTGTTTTGTTGCCTGTATTGTGTCTTCATGCACATTTAAGTGTTTATCTGTGTGTAGCATGCTTGATCAAAGGACACAGAATTCAGGCTTGTGAAAATGAAATGTGTAAGAAGCTCAAAGTTCAACGCACTTTTAAACATTTCTATTTAAATCTGCAATTGAATCTTTAGCCATGTTCATTAGAAAAATAATTGTGTTATCCAACATGTACTATAAGAAACTTGGAAAGATGTGCAATTCAAATTTCATCCTACATGTTAGATGTGTCTCAAGACTCGGTTTTACTTTCTGGCATCACGATTTCACCGAAGATGGAAAGAAAATCATAAGAAAAGGGCACAACACTGGCAGCTGAGGCAAATTTTTCTTCCTTCCTTCCATCCTTCCTTCCTTCCTCCTCTCTTCTCAGCAGTGGAGCCACTGTAACTGGTAGAAGCTGTAATTAATTGGAGTGAAATTCGCTGCTGTTGACCTTTTCGAAGGTGATCGTCACAACGACTCGCGCGTTAATTCGACAGCCGTCGCTCTTCGGCTGCCGGCAGCGCAATCATCGCACAAATCGCTCGCTTGCATTTACATGCGGAAAAAGATTGGGGGACCACACAGAAAAAAAACTTCCACATAGAAAAACAACTTCCAGCTCTTGCACACACGCGGGCGTCTTCGGCTTGGAGTTCTGCTGTGATAAATGGGGGAGTGGGGAGAACCTACAATATCGAAACCTCGCATACAATTTATCGCGGTCTCACACGTTCTGCTTCTGTCTGTCACGCAAATGCACCAGTCCGCTGTAAAATATCCTCTTTTAGCTGCTTGCACCCCCTCTCTCTATGGGTGTTGTACCTGACTATTACCTGTAATGACCATGACATTAAAATAATGATAATGCCATTTGCTAATGCAGCACTTAGCACACATTGCACACACTTATGCAGAGAGATGCACACCCTTATGCAACCTGGATTTCTTCTATGTTGGTGAAGTTGGAAAATGTGTATCCCCCGCCCCTCTCTTTGCCCCTTTAAGAGTTTTAACTCAAATGCCCACATCAGGAATTACTGGGACTGTGTTAGTGGGACCACCCAAAGACTGAAAGAAGGTGAGAGGCTTAAGAACATAGCCACACTTTCAAATCCTCCACTTGGAAAAGATAAAGATGAGATAGGTCATCTTTCTGAGCGAGTTCTGGGGTTGTCTTTCGGGTCTCCTCTCAACGGGATCTGCCAGGAGACGCTTTAGAGAGAGCCACCCAGGAGGCGTCATGATCAGATGCCCGAACCGCCTCAAAGTGCTTCCTTTGATGCATCGGAGAAGCAGCTTCATTCCCAGGTTTGGCCCACATGGTGGACCTCCTCACCCAATCTTTGGAGGAATCTCAGGAATTCATCGTCACAGACACGATCCATATCTCATGACCAAACTTACACAGACTGCTAAATTGAGAGCTTTTCTTTTTGAGTTTACTAGTTGGCGGATTAAGTGGCACGAGGATGATAACAGAACCACCTCGGAAGCAAAAATCAAAGACGAGATACCTTGCTCTCAAACCAGACATCATTTCTGCTCATCCATCAACCAGGATTGTGACAAGAGGTAGTCCTCTAACAGAATCTGCTAAACCTTGTGTTGAAAAGAAGGATAGAACGTTTTCCTACACCTACAACACTCACCACATGTGGTCTGGACAGCTAAGCTACCACAAGCTTCTCAGCAAGTCCATGAAGCTAAAGGTTTCACTTGGTCCTCACCAATCAGTCCAAGTCTCCCTAAAATACACTTTCCCAGAGAGGCTGGGACTCTTGATAGACGGAACACACTCAGTCTCTTTACCTAAAAACTGAAACCATGACTCAAACTCTGCAGGTTGCGTCTCAGGCCTCCAGGAGATACAAAAGAGAAACGTCGACCACAAAGCTTTCATAATGTTGCAACGAATCTCTGCATCCTGTCAATGGCCTCCAGATTTCATGTGAGAGGAAGATCTCCCAAACGGGCTCCAATGTCAAGACATTTACAATTCACTCTTGATCGTTTATTTGTGGTTCTCTGGTCTGTCTGCAGCTTCGAAACTGACTCGCTAGTTTCGAGCTTTTGAAATGCTCACGTTTCTGGTCTATCCTTCTTCTTATAACTTCATACATGAGTGAACATCTACGATCTGATGATTGAATTTAAAACCTTGGCACCAGGCTGGCATGACAGAGATTTTTAATAGTGTTGCTCTTGAACATAGTGTCTGGTATAGAAATACCATGTCAAGTAAAGAAATCAAAACAAAAAAATTTCTGCGATTCAAACTATTAGTTTTTTTTTTTTTTACATAAAATACAAATTTATACTGTGTTTTATACATTAGCTTGAGTATTTTTATGGTTATTTATTTCCAGATCTTTTTTTTATTTGCCCAATTTCAAAAAACAAATAAACTGATATGTAATGGTTAAGTAAATTTTACCTTAAATAGCTTGTTTCTGAGTAACAAGTAAGTAGGATGAACAGAAATTGTGAGGTTTGGCTGCATAATGGTAGAATGGATGGTCAAAGTGACAAGGAGATGTTTCTGACGGTTATAATGATCATGAAATAGTTTGTTCTCTAAATGCATGCAGGGAGAAACTAACTTTCCAATTCTCAATACATTTTCTGAACAAACTTTTACCCAACATGTCAATGCAAATGTATTTATGCAGCACATTAAAGAAATCAACAGAAGTTGACCAGAACATTTGACAATTCAAACGAAACAACTAAAACAATACAAAACATTTAACACCAGCACAAAGGCATGTACGCTAACGCAGCATTTTTTAAATAAAAATAAAACCTCTAATAAAATGAATTTCTCCAAAGTTTGACCTGGATTTATTAGTGCATGTTTCGTTTGAGTTACGCCTTCATTATTGTTCAGCAGTAGAGGAGAGGATTTGGTTTTTCTGGATGGTCACATATATTTTAATATCTGATGGGCTAATTGTTGTGTTTATGTTGCTCCATCTCTCCATTTCCATCTCAGTTTCTGCTCCTCCCCAGACTCTTGCTTTATCTTACCGAGTCTCCTTTCTTGTCAAGACGCAATTATTTGCAATTTGCCTAAGTCATCCATTTGCTGGGACACTAAGCATGAAAACGAGGCAATTTGGTGTAAAATGGATGCGTGCGGGCATCGGAGCATGCGTATGGATGAGTGTGTGTGTGAGAGAGAGAGTGTGGCCGAATCGGGGAAAGGTCCAGGCACAGGTGGGGGTGGAGAGGGCGGCATGCGGGGACCGTTATGCAAAAAGTGAGACTGAAAGTCAGAAGCGGACACATATTGTTTGGTATTTTCCTCGAACCTACAATAAAATAACCACAGACAACGTATATGAATTAAATATGGTCAGGCTTCTGCAGAAGGAGAAATCCCGATCAACAGCTCCTCCGAGCTGTTCAATAGAGAGTTCTGATCTGCTTTCACGTGAGCTCCCTCTTTATTGTCAAAGCATCAAACAACAGAGGTCGTAAAACATTTAACACAGACAGACCAACAACTCAGTTCCAGGTGTGATATCTAATTTACAATCTGAGCCCAGTTCAGCGCTGGGTCAAACTGTCACCTAAGACTGGGTAGATAAACACCAGAGAAGAAGGTCTGAGAACCATAAAGTTTTACTATCTCGCATGAAGACAATCGTAACCTCCAGGTCAGCCCATACACACATAAGGAAGAGAACACTTTAACAAAATGATAATATCAAAAAATCTCTAACACATATGGAGATAAATCTATGTGTGTGTGTGTGTGCGTGTGTGTGTGTGTACATGTACCAGTCTGCACACATGACGGTATCGAAGTGACCTTCCAGCGCTGAAATGTCCACCTCACAGTCCCACCTAACCACCCTGTAACACACACATGAAACAGAGACAAAAGTTCAGCGTTTGGAGAAACCAAGTGGCGCTGCTAAAAAAAAAAAAAACAAAAAAAAAAAAACAGACATGGAGAAAAAGCTCTTTGTCTTCGTCTTCTCTTTCTCCACTTTCACTGCTCTTCTCCTCTGCAGCTCCGAGCTGCTGGCTGTCTGACACCTCGCTCTCTGTGACCCCCACTGTTTTTCTGCCTCAGTAGAGACCAGGAGAACGCATCGGAGAGGAAGACATGACGTCTGCGGGATAAAGCAAGGGAGCGTCTGACATGACACTTGACATTTATACCTTGTGAACACACACATACCGAGAGGAAAGGCCCACTTTCTGCACAGGTTACTTTTCAACCCCCTGGCGCTTCTATTTATTTTCTCTGGTTCTGAGAACATTGCCAAAGTCGAGCTCCGGGGCACAGCAAGAATGCAATGATTCAGTATATATACTGAATGTCCCATAATTCATTGCGGGTCCCAATGAGCATCAGTGGCGGTGAAGAGTGACAAATTATCACACTTTAAGTGACACACAACGTGATTTGGTACAACGTTTTTAGGTGAGAATGTAAATGTGTAAGTCTCAAATGTCTGTTCATCAATACTTCACCTAATTGCAATGTTGCTCTGACATTTTCGGACACGTCTGCTCCCGCTCTGTGCCCTTTTTTAACTTTGAGCCCCCACCCCTCCAAAGGTCTCTCAACGGCCCTGCAGAGAGCCTTTCAGGTCTCGACAGGTAACGTGACCAACCCACATCCTGTAACATCAACGAATTCAACTTTTTAGATTAATCGCATGCCTTTAATCACGCACACATGTAATTATGATCAAGTCAGAGTGAAAATTCCCACAACTTGTTTTGTAAGTATCGCTCTTAAAGGGAGGCTTGTTGAAAGAGACACACGGTTCATCCTGATGCCGCTGCAGTTTTCTGTCCCGCTGAAATCCACCTCTAAACCAGAGCTGCTGTTTTGTCCTCCTCGAAGAGCCAAGCTTTCCTCTTCACCTGTTTTTCCACGCCACTTTGCCTTTCTCTCTCTTTCCCACTGTCAGGCAGATTGGCGGGGGATTATTAATTAGGCATTTTTAACACTCAGTAAACAAAACATTAGGCCCTGCTAGAAATACAATCTCAGCTCACAGTGGGAAGCCCCAACACACAACGCTCGCACGTATGCATGAGTGTGCAAACGACATCGCGCGACATGCCCCTCCCTCTCCATCCCCTAGCACAATCGCATCGTGGCCTTCGGCCTCTCTGGCGGCGCGGAGATGACAGCAGGCATAATCTGAAAAGAAAACAATCAAAGTAATGTAGCCTAATTATACGTTTACTTTTTCACTCCATCTACCACTCATGTAAATATGCTCAGGAGCGAGGGATGGAGAGACAGAGAGAGAAGACGTAGAGGGAAAAAAAGAAACAGTCATTGGAAAATGTGTTGCTTTTTTTTTTTGAGACAGGGACAACAATTAGGTTCATTTTAGCCTGTCCTCGCATATGAGGAGTGTGTGCATGTTTTCTGGACCATTGATCCTCATCAAAGAGGGCCACGTTTCTCTGATGATCCCATGCGCATGCTTGGGCTTTAAAGCCCGATGATTAATTTGCAGAATGCCGAGTATCTAAAGCAACTGGGTTTCCAGTCAGAGATTCAGGCGATACAACGACACACCTACGTGTCGACCAAGTCGCATTTGAATCACAGCAGACATTTGAAAATCAAACAAATTTGCTAAAAACTAGTTCATCACCTGTAAGTGCCAGCCAATGATTATGTTCAGCACTTTTCAGGAGCCTGTGGCAGGAGATCATGAATCTAAACTCCTTAAACTAAAATATTATTCTAGGGATAACAAGAAAGTTTTCAAACAATATCAACGTTAAAAGATTTAACATGAGTTCAAACAAGTGTAAAATGAACCAATGAGCAGGAACCATTAACAAAATGAAACTAACGATTATTGTCGAGAACGGAACGGCATCTCACCTGGACGACACGTGCGTTGACCCAAACTTTCCGGCCTGCCTGTTACACTCGACCACTCTCCGAACATCTGAGGTGCAGCGGTCAAGGATACATCTCTAAAATATGGGCAGGAGGCGGCGGCGCAGGAGCTAGCGCTAAGTTCACCTCACAACGGTTAAAACCGAAATAATTTGTGTTTGCAGGTCGGCACTGAAAAAGAAAAGTCACACCTAACACAATCTAAAAACAAAACATTGGCATTTATAATTTATCAAAAAAGTCCCATGAAAGAAAGTTGTTGGTGCTCAAATCTCATTAGCTCACGATTCGAGGTGCTCTAAGTTGCTGGTCAAGTTCAAGGTAAAGATGCTCTTGTTCAAATATTTTTTTCAAAAAGCTCTTAATCGGCAGACATAACAAATACGAATTATTTTGGGACAAAGAGCTTAAAGTGTTCAGCAGAGCCGCTTAACAATTGACTCATCAGCTCTTTCAAAACGATGTTTAATCTAAAGCAAACGTAATAGTACGTCCATCATAAATGTGGATGTCATGTTGCCGGGAAGAGTATCACAAGTTATAAAACTACAGCATTATGGGTAACATGTTGCACGGTCAACAACACCAGCATGGAGGAAAGTATGAGTGAGCAGAAATGATGTCCAGGGACGGAGCGCGAGATCACAGCTGCTTCTTACTGGATCAATGGAGAGGCTTTTAACCACAGAAAAACACACACACACGCATGAAGACACACAAAGGCAGAGTGATTGATGTCAAGTTGTCTATTAATACAACGACAAGTGGAGTTGCAAAGCAATTCAATTAGGATTTCCTTGTCTTTAAAGCAAGCAAAGGGCTGAGACGAATCCAATCGACAAAGGCGAGGGAGGGGGAGAACAAGAGGGATGGATGAAGAGAGCCGGAACACGTGACAAACCGATCGCCGTAAATCTGTCACGGATCTCAGAGGCCTCCCACGCCGAGAAACACAAATAACACACAGGTGAGGAGCATTTAGGATGAAGAAATGCGTCTTATTTGCACACAAATGAGGAGTGAGCACAAAAGGCCGGTCAGAGCACGCTAACACCATTGAGAGAAAGTTTACACACACACACACACACACACACACACCTCGTGCCCCACTGAAAGCATGCACAGTAGTTTAAAAAAAAGAGAGAGATTTGAAAAATTAAATAAAGGTTTGAGTCTTGTCGAGCCTTAAAGTGGAAAAAAAAAGCCATTTTCTTCAATCACTTGAGGCAGAGCGACCAATGACATGCATCAATCATACTTAATGGAATATTTCCATTGATTTCCTACGTGAGTATTCAAGGTCAGAACAGCGACGGCTTCTGCTCTCTTCACTGCATGCTTTTTTTCTGTATATATATATATGGAGGGGCGGGAGGGTTAACAACAATAAAGGAGGTCAACAACTTCCAGGAAAAGTGGGAAATCTGTTCTCCCAGAGCGTGTACAGTAAATGCCATCCATTCACAACTTCTCGTTCCTTTTCGTATCTTCTCATCTATTTCGCAGAATAAATCTGAAGCCCTATCAACAGCCGCCATCGCTCTCCATCCTTCCACAAAATAAAGCCACGCGAGATAAACAGAGGCCATGAGGACACGGCTCCGGCCTCAACGGGAGGAAATACCACAAAGTGTGTGAATGGACCAATTTGGCAGAGTCCGGGACAAATCCTGAGTCTTTCTCACACACACACATACACACACTCCCCACCTTTTCTCTCCTTCTCTCTTTGTGTGTGCGTGTGTGTGTGTGTGTACTCAATTCCATTTTTTCGCCCTGAATTCACTTACAATTCCCCCCGAGTGTTTGTTCTAGGAAACAAAGCGGCCGGTCAATGGCGTATTGTTTGCGTGTCCAAGTGTGTGTTTTACAGTCCTCGCCATGTTATTGTTTGGTCTCATTGTGATCAGAGAAGGAGCATTGTAGCCCGGCTGGGATGGAGATGCTGTAAGCGGGGTTAAATTTGGAAGAGCCGCATCGCTCGACGGGGGGAAAGAGAGACGCGTATTTAGATTTCCTTCGTTTGTTAACAGACGGTCAAACAGGCTGATTTTTCGTCTTCCGCGGCGCTGCCCATTGATTACTGGAAGATCTGAAAGGCTTAAAGGAAGACAAAAAAATTGATTAAATGAAATGAGGGAGGAAAAACTGTGATGAGAAGAGGAGCATGTTTTGATTCACAACCTACTTAAAGAAGAAACGATACCAAAAGTCTCACCTAAAGATTTCTTCTAAATTTGAATTTGAAGAATGAATGAATGAAAGAAAAAAAAAAACACCCAGCATTTTAAACAAACTTGATTGTTCATATTTGGATGTCTTACTTCTTAATTATTATGTAATAATAATGATTAAATAGCATTTAGGAAGAGACTGACTTAACTACAATAACGTCCACAGGACTTTGTGTTCCTCCTTTACAGACACAAGCATCATTTGTAATAAAACCAACATCTTAAAGCTGACTTCACTTTAATTTAATTTACAGAAATGTAAGTTAAATCAACTTGATTAACTATAATAACAACTTAGCTGAATAAATTGGAGCAACTTTTTTCAAAAATTTCTCTTAACGACTTTAGTTTTAGTTCAATATACTTGCTGAGGACAGTTAAGGCAACGTAATTGAAGTTATGCCAACAGCTTTCGTTAAGAGACAGTTTAACTTAATACAACTTAATGCAACACAAGAGTAACGCGGAGGCACGGCTGCAGAGGTTTTTAAGACAATAAACTGAGATTATTCATCGTGAATAAAGCCGCCTTCGCCCAAATGTTTTCGTTGAAGTGGGAATAAGAGTGTCATTATGCGCAGTGCCAACATTGGCTGAAAGGCCACAACTTCAAAAACCACATCAAAACCCACAAACCTCATCCCAAATGTGAAATATGTGGCAACATGTTTTGCTGGCAGTGAAATAAAAAGGTTTTTTTTTGTTTCTAATACAGTCTATGCGAGTCTTGTTTCAGTAACTTTCTTTTGCAAACCTGGCTCCACGTCTTAGAGAGTGCAGCCGTTTCAAGTCCACTGTCGTCTTGACCTCGCCACAACTACTGGGTTCCTATGAAACTTCATTTTAGTGAAGCCACTTAACGCAAGTAAACTTATGATTGATTATAACCTCTTAAGTGAAAGAGCTCCAGTTGAAGCAAATCTAAGATACGTCTTTACATTGTTGATTCAGATCTTTGCACTGTAGTAATTGTTCTCATCCAAGTCTTCCAAATAAAACACAATACCTTTTTTTGAAACGCTCCCATCCATAAGTTTATTCCTAACTACGCTTGGCGAAAAGCAGCAAATGTGTCGTGCTAATTTGTCTGCCTTTTGCTCCGTCTTTCTCTGATGTCTAATAGCTAAGAGCGAAGCCATCAAACCACCAGAAAAAAACACACACAAAAAAGACAACATTTCCAACCCAATTTGCAGGACTTTAAGTTTGATTGCGTCTCGTTTTGGATGCTAATCCTGTCAGTGTCAATAAATCCAATGAGATGGTATCCGTTGTAATACATTTTCATACTGATAGGAAGGAAAGTAAATATTTGAAACTCAAAAAAAAAAACAATGTGTTCCACATTAGGATGTGAACATTTTAATCGCAGAATAAAAGGAACATTCCTGCACCACAGATTCCCATCTGAAGGACACACAGTCAAACAACCTGAATGTCTCACTGAGGCACAAAAGAAAAGCAAAGGTTTTTACACGGGAAGAAAAAAAAATGTACGATCGCACATGAATCGCTGTGAGCTAATGGAGCCACAGCCGGCGATGGAGAGACGGAGAGAGAGGAGAGGACGATGAAAGGATACTCTGAATGGACTTCTCATTCCCATCTGATAGCAGGACTTCCTTCACGTCAGCAGAAATGGCAACCTGAGAGCCGGGGAGAGACAGGAAAGAGACGGAGAAATTAAACAACATGGAACAAAAGAACAACACCCTCCCACCCCCGAATAAAAAAAATAAAAAATAGCACCCTCAGATGAAGCAAACATCTGAACACACGCACACAGTAATGACATAACCGTATCTACAAACGCCTCACTCCTGGCAGGCCGGAACCACGCCGCCCTCCGTCTCTCCGTTTCTGCCTGCCATTTTCCCACTCTCTATCTTCACCCCATTTTTATGTCTGCATTATTTTAATCATTCAATCAAATCAGTCAATACTTTTATCATTGTGGCTAGCGGTGGGGGCCTGCTATCTTGCTATCACTCTGTTCGGTAATTGCATTGTGACAGGGGATGATGGCAAGCGCAAAGCCTTTTCATTTGACGCTGGGTGTTTATCAGGCCGAGCCATCACTCCGTTCGCCGCTGTCACTCTGCACTCGGCTCGCCAGGCCTGCCTGATGCCCTTCATATAACTTTGCGGAGCGCGTACTGCAAAACGACAACGAGAAAGCCACGGAGGGAGTGGAGAGAATGGAGAGCTGCCGCGTTTCGACGTGTGCGAGGGAGATGTAGATAGGGCGGGCGGGTGCAGGCTCTTGGCGCTTTTGACAGTCTTTTTCTTTACAACTGCCTTTTCCCTGTATCGGCAAGCGCATGTCAGGCTGTTGGCTTTTGTTAAAGAGGGCGCCCGCGTCTCCAAGCGGGTCACATTTGTTGCCACCTCCGTTAAGACATGCAAAATGGCTTAAAAGAAATTGCTCTTGTGTTGCGGTGACATTATCTTAGCCTTAAAAATATAGAAATCCTCTCCCTCTTTATCAAAATTATCGGCGTCTCTGCTGCCAATATTTTCAATAGGAAACCAGGAATTTCTCCAGAGAGCAATCTTTGACTGCACTCTGCACAACAGCAAAAAAATGACACCATCATTTTTGACCTTCTGAATGCAGTAAAACCATGATAACTTTGTAACTGCATTCTTGAGCTAGAAACATGACATTTTGCCAATAACTCAAATTCTCTTCCTCAATTTTAGCACATCCTGCTAAAATGACGTGGCTAGCAACAGCACTTTCCCATACATGAAATTATTACATTCTTAACCTAATGAAAAAGTACAAGTGATAAAGATTTAGTTGACAGAATACTTAGAAAAGTGGCTAACTAACTAGCCAGCTAGTTAGTTGTAATGAGCAGTCTGCTCAGAAAAGCAATAGTTTGTTTTTGTGAGCAGACTGTACAAAAACTATATCTAGTTCTAATAAGAAGACTGCATGAAAACTGAAAAAAAAAAATGCATTCACAATAAATCTAGCACGAGCTCCACATATTGTCTTTTATATGTATTTTTCAATGCTACACTAATAATATAATAATTTTTTTGTATAAATTAAGTTAACTGGGTTTTTGGGTCAAATATGTCAACTGATTATTGGCAATTTATTGCCTCATTAGCTAAAATGAATGAGTCACTGGCAGGTATTACATAACCGTCTATCATAACAGAGTCAGGTGATGTCCTGAGGTCTCCCTAATGCTCGCTGCAGCGCCCCCTCCAGGCCCTCCACTGGATCAGGTTTGGGAACTGTGATGGTTGTGAGAAAAATAGAAAAAAAAACACAAAGGATTTTTGTGTTTGATAAACCATTTCTGCAACTCCTGGATGTCCAATTTTAAGCAAATTTTTATTTTGAGCAACCAAAGAGGCCATGATGCCACACGCAACAATTCTTCCATTTAGCCTACGTGAATGGGAAAGACTGATTTTATTGAAAAGTATCTTTGAGTGCCCTATTAAAGCAAAATGATAGCCTGATATCATTTATTTCATTCACAGATTGCAACCTTATTTCCCCCCTTATTGAATGCTGAAAAGAAAGGTTGAATTTCTTTAAAAAAAACAAAAAAAAAAACTTCAGTTTGAGATTGTGCTACTGCGACACATCCTGTCTCCACATCTGGATCGGCGAAATCGGCATAAACAAAACGGCACAACCTGCTCTGGAACCATCATGCATACATTTGTCTGCAGAAATGAGCATGCAGACGCACATGTTGAAGCCCTAAGGGGCACCAGAAGGGGTCACTGAGCGAGGTTCTGGGCTTCCCACCATCTGCTACAATAAGGGACGACACCTTCAGGCTCCACCAGAGCACACAGCTGAAAGAACAGGAGTCCAGCTGGTCAACGCATGAGCATCAATCTGCTGGTGTCTCAGCTCGTGTCACCATGAGTGGTCACAAATCTGTGAGAATAATGATTTCACTAACCAAACACAAATAACCTGCCAAGCTGATTTCGTAAAAGCAACAGCAAATATTTATTTGAACATTAAAGTGATCGTTCCTCAGAAGGACGTTCCTCATGTCCGGCTGTAAGAGTTAACGTGTCAGTTATGGTTTTCAGTTTCAGACCGAATGGGGGGGAGAAAAGTATGATTAGGTCGATTAATTCAAAGAACAATCCCCTCTTTTCTGGAAGGCATAAAAATGAAATGCGACATCCACAAATTAGCACTTGTTTCAACTGTTTGAGTTGTTTTATATTAACAAAAATCCATCCTGACTCAGACCGCTGTCCCTTAATCTCTGCACTGGGGCGATTCTAACTACAATCTGCAGAAATTATATTAACAGTCGCTAGTCTCTCTAGAGAGACCAACAATTAAAAAAAAAATCTTGATCCATTAGTTTTTTTCAGATATGCGAAGTGTTTTCTTTCTTTTTTTATACTAGGAGGGCATTGGAAATTTAAGAATGCCCAAAAACCCTTTTGGTGGATCACAAGTAATGACTGACTTTCAGAAAACAATAGTGTCATCACATGTTCATGCTGAGAATTAATGGTTCAACACTCAACAATATTTAGCGTCATACTTTCACAAAACAAACAAAAAAACAAAAACAAGAAAATGTGGGGAGAGTGGTGTCAGTGACGGATGAAGGGGGGAAGAAGTGTGAAGGAAGGATTCCATCTCAGACCACCAATGTCAAAACACGGTGTATTGACCGCTAGGAGATAAAACTCAGCGTTTTACACACACGCGCACACGCCCGCACACTCATTGGCATCTAACAGATCGATGGGACACTGAAGCCTGCTATGTGGAGGGCCCCTTAAGACTCTGACTAATACGCCCTGCAGCTGACAGACTGCAGGACGTCTCCAGTGTACTGGGCGTCCAAATGCTCGACAGCTTATTCAACTTTCCCTACTTTTGTGACAAAGTGGCTTTAAGGTAAGACTCGAGTTTCTAGACTAATTTTCCTTGGACAAATGAGACTAAAACTAAATTATTTGTCCACCAGAGCAAAGGACAATGCAGCTTAAAAAAAAGAAGCACGACCTCACATAAATTGTGAAACATGGAGGTGGAAGTGTCATGGCTTGTGGAAGCTTTACAGAATCCGAACCAATTCTTCAGCTCAAATAATTCAGAGGTGCAGAGAGGAGTGGGGCAAAGCTACGTCAGACTGATGACGTGTAACCAAAGCAGATAACAACACATATATAGAGGTAAGGTGTATGTACGTTTTCCTGTTAGAAAACACAGTTTAAGCTTATATCTTGGGTTTAACGATTGATGCAAGCTTTATTGAGATATAAAATCTGGGCATTTCTCAATATTGAGTGGGCTGTCCTAATATTTCCACAGCACTCCTGGAAAACCTCCCACTGTAACTGGGCAGGAAGACATTCTGCCGCTCAGCTCTGCTGCATTCACTGCGAACAGGATTTTCTCTTTTTTCCTCTCTCTCTCTTTTTTTGCACATTTTTGAAGTGGCACTTTAGAAAGTCTTTTTTCTAAACACAAATTCTTTCCAGCACACTTTTTCTCTTTTAAGCCATTTAATGTCAGAAACGACTAATTGTTCTCAACGTCGACTCCAGGGGGAAAATTTAAAAAAAAAAAAAATCAACCAATCAGAAGAAACACACTGGCATAATCTGCTCGGTGAATCTGGCGGTAAACCCTGAACACAAATGAGTCGCTTTATTAAGCTGCTGTGAGTAAAGTGTCTGCATGCAAACTCCCCCCGAAAGCTGGCAAATCTAAAGGCGCATTCCGGCGCGCAGGAAGTGAATGATGGAGCCTGAATAGATAAGGATACCGCGTGCTCATGCTGTGCGTATATTGACTGGCGATGATTAGTTTTATTAGGGAAGCCGAGACACTTTTTCTTGCAGAAGTCTGCTCCTGTGTGTGTGTGTGGGTGTGTGTGTGTTTGTGTCTCACTTACCATGAGCCCACCAAGGCAAGTCATACCTCCTCCTAACTCACACACTGCACCCCTGGGAGACAGAGGGGAGGAGAAAGAGAGACGAGTTGGGGTGAGATTTACTTTAGTGAGGCAAAAAAAAAAAATGAAAAGAAAACAGCAGTTTAGTACTAACACACACGTGCTGTAAAGAAGATCTGAGCAGATATGGAGAAACACTCCGGCACGCTACGCTACGAGTCCGGGCAGATACACAAACAGTAAACACAGCGGGGTAAGAAATATCAATTCAGCCATCAACTTGAAAGCTGAATGCTGAACACTGAGAAGCACAAGCTCAATCAGCAGGATATCTGACGAGCAACACACACACACACACACACACACACACCACACACACACACACACACACACCACACACACACACACACACACACACACACACACACACAAAGTCCTGCAGCTTGTCTGCTCACTCAACCCCTCTCCTCATCCTCCTCCTTCTTTCATCTCCCCAACCCTCCATCTCTGCCCCTGTCCTCTTTCATCCCTCTCCCCCCTGCCCCTCCCTGCCCCAATCCTCCTTTCCTCCTCCCTTTTCTGCTGACCTTCACTACACCACTCTGATCAATAACCCCTCTCCTCGTTGCCTCCCGCCTCTTGAATGTTAAAACAGGAAATCAAAGGGTGACGTTCCACCTTGAGTGGAAATCAAAAGTGCCCGGGCGCTTTTCAGCCGTGTGCCACAGGGCAGCCCTGATGCACGGCAAACAACAAGACGGGGAAAAGAGCAGAAGGAGCAGAAAAGGGAAAAAAATATTTAAAATGCTCCGGTGTCAAAGTGGTAAATGTTTGCGAAAGATAAAAAACTGTGTTTTTTTTTGTTTGTTTGTTTGCTTTTTTTCCCCCTACAATTTATCGAGTATCTTGGTGAGCAAGCATCTTCTGAGTGCTATGATAATGTCACGGTTTTGTAGCATTCGCAGAAAGATCCAAAACATAATTTCATAGTTTTTAATTAAGGAAAAAAACGGAAAGATACAATTGTTTGCCCTGCTAAAGACAATGCAGAGAAACTGTTGGTGTTGCTCCTTTCACACAAAGTGTAATTCAAAGTTGCTTTGCAGAAAAACAGAGAAACAGAGATAAGACACATTGAAGCAAAAGAAAATTCAAATAAAAAGAAAAAAAAAACAGTAAAAAAGGTCAATCTAAGCAGATAAAAAGATTTTTTAAAAAAGCAGCACAGCCAGAGAAAACTAGTGTAATTGATGGACTTGCTTTAGTGAGTGTTGAATCTGTTTAAAACAACAGATAAATAAAAAGATTTCGTGACAATAGTCGCATTTATTTATGGTAACCGGTCAAGAAGAGGGGAAAACCTGCAGCAAGAGTCCCAACATCTAAATAGCTGCATTCAGGACTAATCATTACCCCAAAAGTGTACATATTTGTTGAAACTGTCCCTATGTCATCATAGTATGAGACAGAAACCAATCAGAGTAAGAGGATGGTGTTACTGCTGTCTACCAGCTTGTGTATGTGCTGCTCACAGCTTCACCCTTGCTCTCTGTTGCACTATAACTTCTTCCCCACATCGGAGCGTGCACTGGCTAGTTAGCACGACCACCATTGACAGTGGATGAACAGTTTTTCTGTGACAGTAATTTCTTGTTGTTTTTTACACCATTATCATGGCTAGAGCAAACTATCAATCATGAGCAGTGTGTGCATGAGCTTGATTGACAGCGCTGAGCCCCTCCTCTTGGCTCTGACTGGCAGTTTCTGACTGAGTGGTGGATTTTTGGAGATGGCAGTAGGACCACAGGGAGGATCCAGAGGAGCTTCATTTTTAACATTTTTGTTAAAACTCTCGCAGTTTTAACAAAAATGTAAAAAGAAAAAAAAAATTCTAAAAATTATCAAATGGAGCTTTAATTGGCTTACTTTTCATAGTCTGCAGGTTCGTAAATATGTTTTTTCTTTTTTCTTACATGTGAAATTGTTTCCAAACAGTCTCTTTTAACCAAAGGGAAAGTGTGTAGCAGCCTTCCCCACTGGCAACAGGTGGGGGTGGGGTAACTCCTAAAGCTTTAAAAACAGCCAGAGAGAACTGTGGCCACTTTTTCCCACATCTTAGAAAATGACTTTGAACTGCTTTTTTTATTCAGCAGAAAAAAAAACAGAAAACAAAGAAAAAACAAAAGAAAACCGTGAAAACTCACTTGAACGTGTGCCGCTTCTGCAGACAGTAATGCGCCATCACCTCCTCTGAAGGCCACACACCTGAATCAAAAGACAGCGGGAAAAGGAAATCAGTCAATTAAAATGCCCGACAGATGTAATATCCCCGCGACACAAGCGGAGCATCTCTGGTGTGAAAACACACACTCAGATCCCTGTGTGTCGCGACATCACAGCGCATCGGCATTGATATAACACCAAGAAAACACAATGGCCGCTCCGTCCCACATAAAGGGAGGCATTGTGATTTTCCAGTCTGTGTTCATTTGCTTCTGTTGTGGCTTCCACCTTGCCCGTGATCCAAGGCTTCTTTCTCTGTCTGCTCGTCTGTCTCCGTCCGTCCCTCCCAAATCCCTGCAACACACTCCCTCGTTGGCCATTGTGTATGCAAGTGTGTAGGAGCGAGCGTGTGTGTGAGACAGGGCGTCCGGTGTGTGATAATCACAGTGTGCAGGCCTGCCTGGCTTATCACCTACAGTCAGCCCTTCTCCGTCTGCCGTGCGTGTAACACACACTGAAAACGCGCGCGCACGCACGCAGGCAGCACGCACTCAATCCAAACTATTTCCCCTTCGCTTTTTATTGCACACACATGCACAACCGGAGACAAATACGCACACCTTGGCAGCGAAAGAAGTAAACATTCATTTGAATAAAACTTCAGCTTCTGGCTTTGAACAAGAAGGTTCGCCTTGGCCCTGCCTGCCGTGTAAAGTGTGTGCGCCCGCGATTCTCTCTCTATATATATATCTCTCTGTGTGTGTGTGTGTGTGTGTGTTTGCACAGTTAAGTTTTTTGAAAAAGGAGAAAGACTGAGAGGATATAGAATAAGTTGGAGAAAGCGAAAAGGCAAGTGAGGGAGACAGAGGAAAATGAGAGAGGCAAAGGGGAGAGAACGAGGGAGAGGCTGGTGGAGGAGAAAGAAAAGGTGGTAGTCGATATAATAAGCGGCTTACAGACGGTCTCCCATCACCTCATGGGGCAGACATCCCTGCTCTTTCCTTCTCCCCTATTCACTCTTTCACTAACTCTCCCGGTGCCCTGGCTCCGGTCCGCCAAGATTAGCTCAAGCAAGCAGGATTTAATAATGCCTATTGATAAAATGTCCAAATATTCTTCTTCCCCATTAAAAAAAAAACTCTTTAAAGTGTGTTGTGACAACGTACGTACACACACACACACGCGTGCATGCGCACACTGTACTGAAGTGGTAAATAGTGTCAAGACATGAACCAAAGTGACATTTTAAATTTCATCTCCTCAATTGTCCTCAGAAAGGAGTTTTGTCACAAGACATGGAAAACTTCACAATGTGGGGTCAGGCTAGCAGTTTAATGCTAGCAGCAAAGCTCATCTACATTTGGGTTGTTTGCTGTAAATACACAGCAAATGTTTGCTTTTATGCAGCATTTTTCCCCTCCAATGTAATGGTGTCTATTTACGATTCTGGGATTCCCTTCACAATCAGTGTCTCCAAACCCACAAACGCAGGTTCTGAGGGTCATTTCTTGAGTTCTGCGGTGCTGTTAAAGATCACTGTGCTTAATTCTGGGCTTTTCAGATCATCAGAACAGTAAATAATAAACTCAGTTTTCAATGTGGCCCTATAATCAGTCAATTTTGAATAAAGCAACATGTTTGGGATGGTTTTTACCATCAAACCTAATCCTGTAGATTTGGAAAATAAACTCAAGTTGAACCTGTCTGACAACATGAAGTAAGCTAAGGGTGTTTTCATACCTGATAGGTTTTTTTTATTTCTGATGATCCCTAAGATTTGAAGAACAATATTCTTTAGAATGACGAGTCAAAACTGGAACTTTTTTTTTGTTTTTAACGTTTGTTTTATTACATTTACCATTTCAGCGACAGAACATTATACTTACAGTCAAACATGGTGGTGCTGCTCTGCTTCTTCAACACCTGGATGACTTACCACAACAGATGGGAGCATGAAATTTACTTTTTACCTAAAAACCCTAAAGAAGAATGTCTGGCCATCAATCTCTAACCTTAAGATCAAACACACTTGGTTTATGCAGCAGAGCAATGATCCAAAACAGCATCGTTCTGTACATAAAGGATTATGTGAAGAATGAACACGCAGCATGCAGTGGCGAGCCGGAAGACGAAGAGGGGAAACCCGCAGCTGGAACCTGAGGAGCACTGAGGATTCCCACGATGACGATGGCGGATCGATCATTCATATTAGTAACTGACAAAGAGTATCAGAGACTGAGAGTACGATGAGATCCTGGCAGTCTGAGAGGCAGCGACTCAGAGATCCAAGCAGGGGAGTGGCGGCGCTGCGCGGCTACAAGGAGGCGATCACTACGGGCTGAGCCAGAGCTACAGCTAGTTTACTCCAAGAACCAAGGTAGAAAAGCCTTTTTTCTATAGTCCAACAGACCTATTTTTACTTTGTTCCACCAAACAATTACACATTTTTTGTCATCTTATTTTGACCGATGATGTTTTTCTTACAAATTGCATGCAAACGAATGAGGAATTACCTTCATTTTCATGCTAATAATGTTGTAAAACTGTGTTGCTTGCAATATTTTAGATCAGTCTAAGACATTTACAGTATATGTTGTCATTCTAAATCATGAAGACCATTTCTTATGAATATTTAAGAATTTCACAATGAAAATATGTTTACATTTTTCCAAATGGGGTTTTGTTTTTCTGTGACTCAAGGTCCAAAATGCAGCCTGGGAGTGTAAATTCATAAAGTTCAGGTTGGCCTGAAAAAAATGATTCCACATAAGGCAATATTATTTACAACATCATGGTTTCTATTAAGGTGAAATAAAAATTTGTCAAAAACAACCATTTATACCCGGGACCGGAATGCAGTAAACCCCTGGCCTCCCTCGTGACCTCTTTCATAATAGATTGTTAAAGAAAGCTGAGATTATTACAACCGATCCCTGCCACCCACCATGGGCTGAGTTTCAACTTTTTCCATCAAGACAGAGATACAGGATTAAACTCCGTTAAACCGGCAGACTGAGGAAATCTTTCATTGCCTCTGCTGTCAGACTGATAAAGTGCAGCATGGCCAGGACTTCACTCGGCCTCCTTTTCTGAGCTGAAAGATTGTTGTTGATGAGGTTGTTGTTACCTTTTGTATATGTGAACCTGCTGAGTGGCCAGCAAACTGCCTTTCAGGCACAACACGGTTTAACAGTACTGAGCCGAGTCACTAGTGGCTTTCAAATGTGTTTTTAGGATCTGGAAATACTGGCACTTAAGACATCAGCAGTGCCAGCATATGACGACATCAGTATTTCTATTATTTTGAAATCCCTTGTAGCAGCTGCAGTAAAGCATTAAGCAAAACAAAATGTAAACACTGAAACCAAAAATGTGCTAGTTCTTTTTTTTTTAAATTTACTTCTTGTTTTTTTTACTCGTCTACTCTAATAGAAGATAGCTGGATTACATCTGAACAATCAGAAAGATGTAGTTACCTTTAATGTGACTTTTATGAATAATACGTCACTCTGTGAGAGTGACAGTATAAGACAATAAGACTGAAAACAAACAAAACCACAAAGTCAAGCTCCTCTGCCTCCTCCCGTCATAAACAACCAATCAGAGCAAGAAGGAGGGTCTTACTGCAATTAATCATGTTTGTTTATGCGCTGCTCACTTCCTCCATGGTCACTGATGACACAGATGAACAGCTGTTGCTGTTACGGTAAGTTATTCCTCCGCCATTAAGCACATTGAGCAGTTTGTACATGAGGATGATTGACAGCACTAAGACCCTCCTCCTGGCTCACGTTGGTCGTTTCTGACCGGGAGCGGTGCATTTCTGCAGATGGCAGTCGGAGCACAGCTTGACTTTTTTCACAGATTATCTGTCACAACATAATGACAGTTTAAAGAAATATGTGGAAAAAAAGTATTTTTCATAAAAGTTACACACAGCAGCTTTATGGATTATTTAAAAAGCAATATCTTGCTTCAATTTTCACTGAAACCAACCGATAAACTCATATATATAGTATTATTATAATACCACTGTTTAATGCCTTAAACACAAACCACCTGATTTAGTCATTTTGCATGAGATTAAAATGAATAAAAATGGTTTGATAAATGTATTTTATCAGTGCTTCTACTGTGTGTCATAATAGTTAAAAAAAACAAAAACAAATTGTGACGCTGTAAGATATCTGGTTCTCACAAATATCATCTAAATCGCTCCGTCCCTAAAACAATCCATGTCGCCATGAGTGTTGAAACTCCTGTGTCTTGCGACTTGAACTTTGACCTATCCTCTCCTGATTATGTGCTCGCATGTAGTATAATTGCATCTGAACAGATGTCTTTGGACTGGAAAATGACAGTTCAGCTCCTCCCCTCACAAGTCAGCACACGACACTTGACATGAAGGGTCTCCCCCCAAACATCTCGGCCAGACGAACAGTAGAGGGTGGTAATGTAACGCAAAACAGGGTCTAATCCACCCTTTGCAGGAGGGTGGATTAGACAATATGAAGGCTTTTCTTAAGATTTTATTGAAGGAAACGAGAAGCAAACGTTACCGTTCTGTTGTCTCTGCGGATGCTGATGAGAAACAGCGAGACCATCGTTGGTTCTTGTGTGACTTAAGAAGACAGTAAGTCACACTGGATAATCTGTTGAAGGCTTGTGTCTGCTCTCTGAATCTTGACTGCACTCCCAGGTTGCTTTCTCTTTACACAAGCATGTGTGTTTGAAACAGAGAGAAAGTGCGTAAACAAATGTAAGCGTGAGAGCAAGACAACCCAAGCCAACACGGCTTTGTAAAACGGATGTGCACCTGATGGTTAATTCACATCTCCAATATCGTTAATAGCCCCGGTTGACAAAAAAAAAAAAGGTGTGTGCCATGAGAATCAGAGTGTGGCTGCATGTGGGGTAAGTATGTGGTTCATAAGAGTGTGTGTGTGTGTGTGTGTGTGTGTGTGTGTGTGTGTGTGTGTGTGTGTGTGTGTGTGTGTGTGTGTCAGACAGCGAGAGCCTCCTAGGTCGAGAACCACTGTAGG